AAACTCTTTTCACAATCATCGGACCATTCAAATTTAACCCTTTTTTGTGTTAAACGAGTCAAAGGCATAGAAATTCGGGAAAATCCCTCAATAAACCTTCTATAATATCCTGCTAAACCCAAGAAATTACGAATTTCAGTGACACTAGTAGGCCTATTCCACTCTACCACCGCCTCACTTTCTTGGGGTCAAGAGACACCCCGTCTTTAGATATCACATGACTCAAAAATGATACACTCTCCAGCCAAAATTCACACTTCCTTAATTTAGCAAATAATTTATTCTCCCTTAATAACTACAACACTATTCTCAGATGTTCTTCGTGCTGCTCTTTACTCTTTGAGTACACAAGAATGTCATCAATAAAAACTACCACAAACTGATCTAAGAAGGGTTTAAATACTCTGTTCATTAAATCCATAAAAGCTGCAGGCGCATTGGTCAACCCAAACGGCATCACTAAAAATTCAAAATGCCCATACCTAGTTCGGAAGGCTGTCTTAGGTATATCTTCCACCTTAACCTTCAACTGATGATATCTAGAACGAAGGTCAATCTTAGAAAAGCTTGTGCTCCTTGCAATTGATCAAATAGGTCATTTATCCTAGGCAAAGGATATTTATTTCGAATTGTCACCTTGTTTAACTCTTGATAATCAATGCAAAGGTGAAAACTACCATCCTTCTTTTTCACAAATAAAACGGGCACACCACAAGGAGAAACACTAGGCCTAAATAAGCCCTTATCTAGTAACTCTTGTAATTGTTCCTTCAACTCTTGCCCCTGATTTTCTCCGACTGCTTGAGAACCACTACCAATATTAGTCACATTCCTTCACTGATTATTATTACCAGTCCGTCGATTCGTTTAACCCTAGTGTGTATTCCTAGCCATATTTGCCAATGTCTCCTCATGTTTCATTGCAACTTATATGCATCAATAATAAAACCTCATCTTATTCTATTCTCAAGTCCCTATAGCACGTAAATAAAATTAACATTTTACTAAATTATAAGCGTTCCCAATCCTACATCTACCCAATCTTACCACTATTTTATACCAACTTTTAAAATTACAACCTGGCTCTGATACCACAAAATTGTCACGCCCCAAGCTTCGTGACAACGCCGCACACTCATATAAGTGAGCATGCAAGGCTAAGAATCTAATCACATAACCCACAATGTAAAATACTCAAATTAAATCCTTAATTGTCATAATGCCAAAATCCATAAAAATAAATAGTTCTTATATGAAAATGTCCACCAAGTCCACTAATTTAATCCATTAACAAAAAAATAATCCAAGTACCTAAATCATTGTCCTACTCTCGGCACTCCCACATGTAAAAAAAATCCCGCTGAACAATTATTTTGTAAGATGGTTTCGTAGCTGAAAATAAACAGTGTAGCAATACATTTTAATTGAAAAGACAATGAGGTAATTCAATGAAATTTCGTTGTTCAAAATTGATGGTTCGATATTCAAATGGTTCAATGATGCAATTCACAAAACCCAAGTCTTGGTGACTACGGTCACTTAGCCCGTGACAAGGCCCAGAACCACACATAGGCCGGTGGTAAAGCCCCAAAAGAAACTAGTTTCTGTGCCAATAAATAACCCCCATTGGCTAGGGTCCAAATCATAGTCAGACTAGAGTGATGTTCAAAATTCAAACAATACACAACTTTTAAATAAAACATTCGAAGTTTTAATGAATAAACGTTTAGTACAATTTTCAGAATAGTTTAACCAAATATTCAAATAATTTTCATAATAATATTCGATGTTGTTTTATACTTGACCAATATTTTATTTTAAGAGAACATAAAGGCTATAAATAAATATTTATGATTTTAAATGATTCGATAGGAATAAAAATGAACCAACAGTGATAGAGGGTTATTTACCTCAAATAGCTAAAATAATATTTCCCAAGCTAATATCAAATTACCAAGATCCACCTCAATCTCACAAACCTAATAAAATATTACACTGCATAAATAATTATTATGTGCACCCATCCATCTCTTCTTGTAACAACAATAGAATAAATTAACCCAATAGTCTATTAGGAACTCCCACGATTTAGCATCAAAACAAAGCCATCACAGCTTCAAAAATTCTCAACCCATATTATTCTCTTGTTGTTTATATACATGTAAAAATTTGTAATTGCTTGTAGTCCATCGTGTATCCCACAAATACACCATCATTAAACTTAACCTATCACATATCAATCTCAAAATATGAACCACCCAAATGGGATGCAAAATACACTCTAAAATTGAGCAAAATTGAGGCCCCCAACATAGACTACATCAATATATCTATTTAATCATATATGCCCATAAAATCATCTATCGATATATTAACACTAAAATCATAGATAGGAATACAATAAAATAAATCTTGCCTAAGTGATGAATAAAGCAAAACCACCACTCCTATGAATCCTCCCTCTTCTTTGGTTTGGGTTTCTTTTCTTTAATTTTAAACTTTTCCAAACCCTTGCTTGTTGCCTTCACCTTCAACTCTTCCAAACCCTTTCTGCAGCACAAGCCTCTCTTCTCTTTTTCTTTTCTTTTTTTCTTTTACCTTCTCAAACCCTAGCCGCCTATGGCGCAATTCATAGCCTCTGTTTTGTTTGTTTTCCAAGACTTAAAGCCACAATAGGTGGACTTATTAACCTAATTTCGCAAAGTTACAAAATTACCCATCTAAGTAATAGGAAATATAATGCCATCTCATAACTAATTCTTTGATATTAATAAATGACCCATATAAATTAATTTAATTACTAATCTATCTAATAAAATAATCATATTTAAAACTTGGGTATTACAGTAAAATCTAAAGTTAGGATTTTTAGTCTTTTGGATAGTTACAGGACTAAATGGGTTATTAAAAATTAACTTAGATTAATTAGTATACAAGTATTACAAATAGAATTTTGAAAAAATCTTCCTAAATCAAAAGAGTATGAAGTACTCATTATTTTTCAAATAATGTATAGTTTTGTCACAAAATTAGGTTGTATTGAGAAAGTATCTTACTATTTTTGAAAATTATTGGTTCAGTGCTGAAAAGTGTTTCTTCTTTGTTTGTCCTTAAAAAATGGGTCAAGTTTGATCATTGTCACCCAATTTTGCTCATTTAACATGCAGAAAGTTCAGACTTATAATGATACACCCTTACAAGCAACTTATATGTTGGCGAAAATGATGACAATGTTCATTGTCGTTGATGGTGCAAATAAATCCGTTTTAATGGATTTTATATATGTATTGTAGCTCGAAATTTGTAACTTGAATGGTCCGAATGTTTGGGTCTTACGCGCCCATATATATCTCCTCTCTATCTCTTTGTCTCTTAGACCCGAAGTGTGAAATCAGTCTCTCGCCTCTTTGGGAAGCTTATCGCTTTCTCATTTAACTACCTCTCCAATGCAACAAATGATGTGGACATCCGACTTCTCTCTGACGTAAACAACGCCAAAAACTTTTCATACGCCAGAAACTCCTCTCATTCGACTCCTCTCACCACCAGAAACTTTTCATATGCCGGATTACAACCTAACAAAACGAATCTCAAGTAAACCTGACATCGCAAAAGTAGGGTTTGAAGATTGAATCAGGGTTTAAACTAGACCAAAATAGTGATTAGGGTTTCATGTTTTTCCCTATGTTTGAATCAAGAATTTTATGGAGTTTAATTTATGTTATTATAGTAGTGTAATTTTAGTCAATATGGTTTGTTTTTGGTTTGTGGGTTCTACAATTTGCTCATGTGGGGGTGTTAAGTTGTTAATTATGATGGGTTCAATTAGGGCTTAGTTCCAAAAAGGTTATGGGTTCAATTTCCTTTTAGGGGGTTTAAATTAAAAGAGTGCAAACACTTAGGTACTTTGCTAAGGGTAAGGAGATTTTCTCTCATATGTACTAATCTAACAACTAACATTTGCCGATAAAAATAAAAATAAAAATAATGTTAATTGTGATGATGGATGTTCAAATTGTGTCCCCAAGCTATTTCTTTACCTCAGTTACAAAATTTTTTCTGGTCTTCTTCTTCTTGTTTACCTTCATCTCTGGTTCACCCTAGTGCTTCTCCTTCTTCTACTCCTTCCCGAGTGGCTCTATCTTCCTCCTTGTCTCACTCTAGTGCTTCTGCTACACCACACTCTATTCGTGAACCTCCTCACTTTGTTCCTATTCAGTCAATTTCTATTCAGCTTCCTCTTTTCTTGCCTCCTCCTTCTACAAATACTCATCTTATGCTCACTAAATCTAAAACAATCCCTACTTGTCTGTCTACTCAACATTCCTCTTCTTCTTCTCTCTGTACTGATTTTAAACCACCCTCTCATAAAGAAGCCATTCTCTCTCCTATTTGGTCTACTGCTATGTCTAAGGAATATGCTGCTTTACAACAGCAGAAAACCTGGACTCCTGTTTCTTTGCCACCTCACAAGCATGTCATTAGTTGTAAATGGGGTTTTAAAGTGAAAATAAATTATGATGGTACTATCGCTCGACACAAGGCACGTCTAGTAGCTAAGGGCTATCTTTAACAATAAGGCATTGATTTTCAGGAGACCTTTAGCCCAGGTGCCAAAACAGCCCACCATTCGCATTTTATTTTGTCTTGTCCTTCATCATCATTGGCCGATTCGACAGCTTGATATTTCCAATGCTTTTCTATATGGGGTCCTTGAGGAAGAGGTTTACATGTTACAACCATCTAGTTTTGAGCAGTATTATTCTCCACTCCAAGTGTGCAAGCTTCACAAAGCTTTGTATGGCTTAAAACAGGCTCCCCGTGCTTGGTATTCCACATTTTCAACATTTCTTCTCGCCCAAGGCTTTCGTAATAGCATATGTGATACATCTCTCTTCATTCAGCAAACTGCCACCTCCTTTACTATCCTGTTAATCTATGTAGATGATATTTTGCTTACAGGCAACAATTCATCTCATATTTAGCCCCTTATTACTCAGATGAATCATGCATTCTCTATGAAGGAATTATGGAACATTGCCTACTTTCTTGGCATTTCAGTCCAATCCACTGGTGATTCTGACTACTTTGTTTCCCAACATCAGTATGGTCAAGATATTCTTACCAAAGCTGGCATGGCTAATTGCAAGCATTGTGCCTCTCCTATTGTTGTCAAACCCTTTCTTTCTCCTAATGTTGATTTGTCCTTTGATAATCTTTCTTTATATCGCAGTATTGTCAAAGCTTTGCAATACCTTACCATCACTCGACCAGATCTTTCTTTGGCTGTAAATCAGTCTTGTCAACACATGCATGCTCTCACTTTTGGACATTTTTCAGCTGTTAAAAGATTACTGCGGTATGTTCAGGGCACCATTGCTCATGGTTTGACATATCAACCTAGTACTTTTGATCTTCATGCTTTTTTCGACTCCAATTGGACAGAGGATGTGATTAATAAGAAGTCCACCTCTGGATATTGCATATTTTTGGGTTCCAATCTTATCTCTTGGTCTCTTAAAAAGCAGGCCACTGTGTCTCGCTCCTCTACCGAAGTAGAGTATCGAGCACTGGCTCATGTTGTTGCCGAATTGACTTGGGTTAAAATGTTTCTTCAGGATTTGGCTATTTCATCCCCTACTCTACCTATTTTGTGGTGTGACAATGTCTCCTCTATTGCTCTTGCTTCCAATTCCGTGTTTCATTCTCGTTCCAAACATATCAAGGTGGATTGTCACTTTGTCAGAGATAAAGTACTTGCTAAACAACTAACTTTGCAATATATTCCTACTCAAGATCAGTTGGCTGATATATTTACAAAACCTTTATCTGTGGCTTGTTTTTTGTATCTCAAGTCCAAGCTAATGGAGTTCACGCACCCCATCAGCTTGCAAGGGCATGTTGAGAATACTACAGCTTCCACATTTAAGAATACTACAATTTCCAAACTTAGCTCAGAAGTTACAGCTTCCAAACTCAACTTAGAAGCTCAGTCAATGGCTCAGCCAGTTCCCTTAATAGATATTGCAGTCGCGTCCACATCATCTTAGTTGGTTACAAAGTCAATTAGCTTAGGAGTTGGCTAGTGTGTATGTAACTACTGTATTAGTAGTTTGTTATAACAAACTCCCAACTGATATATATATATATATATATAACTGTAATCTGAAAAAGTATATTCATTGAATAAGAATTCTTTCTTGAAATCTCAATTTCGTCAGGCTCTACCATGTTCTATTGAAGTTGTACTACAATGGTAGGATTGAGAAAGACTTAATAGAAAAGAAAAAATGTTATGGAAAGTCATACCTCTAGCTGTCTTTTGGTCATTGTGAAAACTTAGAAATGAATGTGTTTTTCAAGCAGCTACACCTAAGTTGGAGGATTTGCGTGTCCTGATCAAGATAAGAGTTTATTTGTGGTTGAATCAAAGATACAAGGAGTTTCACTTCACAGTGTAGGATTTCTTGAACAATTTGAGGCAAATCAGATGCTGTTTTGGGAGTAAAATTGTCCTGGGTTGATATAGTACTCATTGTTGCTATGTGCATTTCTCTTGTATTTGTTATGTCTGTGTTGTGCTCATCTACCGGTGTAAATTTTGGTATTTGGGTTGGTGTCTTACCAATTGTATGTGGTGCTAGCAAATGAATGGGTAGGCTTCTCAATACCAACATAGTTGGGATCAAATCGTTTTGTTATGATATTTTTTGCACCCTCACTCGTTATTGATAATTGTCATTGTATTATTGTTTGATCATTATCATTAAAGTGTCTTTTTGGCTATTTCAAAAAAACAGAAACAAAAAAAAAAAACAAAATAAAACAAAAAAAGGTAGTTTTAGTATTATACACTACAAGAAATTACACTTTTGGCGACTAAATTTTTAGTCGCCAAAAGTCAAATTTTAGTCGCCGAAAAGTTTCCCGACTAAATAGTTGGGTTGCCGGCTTGGTCGTGGGAAGATTGTCAAGGAAGGTATTGGTGACTAAAAAAAATTTTTGGTCACCAATTTCACAACTTTTGGTGACTAAATTTTTTTTAGTCGCTAATTTTTGTCGTCGAATGTGCATTTTGTTGTAGTGATAGCAAAATAATATTTATTTATTTTTTTGCACTCCCAATCTCTCCACTTTTGTAGATATTCAAAATAGGACTATGAGATAAATTAGTTTCTCTAAATTTCTTTTCATTTCACTTTATTTCTCTCTTTTTTCGCTTATACAAACGAGTAATATGAATTAAGAGAAATGCAATTTTTCTATTTTCTTCCCAAATCACTCAATCTAAACCGGCTGTCAGAGAGATTTTGAAGATTGGAATGAGATGAGGGAGTAACAAAATATGAGATGTAAGGGTTAACAATTTATGTACACATATGGGGTATTAATGAAGTATTTGAATGTTTATGATAAGTAGCAAATTACACATATGTGCGTACCGGATTTCGCACTAGATGAAAGTGGATCGGGGCTCCGCACTCAATTGGACTATCCAGGGACCGAGACTCCTGCCACAAGAAGCACCGTTAGAGCTACCCGGCCGGGGTTGGTTGGATAACCCCTCCGGCGTGGGAATTAGTGATCGGAGAAGGAATGTATGTTAAGTGTGATTAGAACAATTCTCCTTAGTTCAGTTCAATTCAGTTACCTTCAATGTGAAGTTTATGAAATATATATAGTATTCCTTACTTGTTTCTCAAGGTGGTTTCATGGAATGTGGATGCTGTCAGGTATCCTTTCAGCATTGCTCTAGGTGGGGGACCACCTGGTAGTTGTCATTGATTGCATATACTCATTGTAGGCATGCTGATAACAAATCACATTCATTTGGTTCAACAACTTCCGTGATTCTAGGTGTGGAGGACCAGTTGAGGTGGCAACCTGCACATGCTTGCACTCACAGCTCCTACGTTTCCTTATGAGGTTTCTCCAGCACGGTACTCATGTACTTCAGTTCGATACTGATGTGCCTCGGCTCGGCTTTTTTCAGGATCATTCATGGAGATGGGCTGGCCCATTATCTGTTCGGCCTACAGATTCCATTTCACAGCTCGGCCCAGACCAGCACTACGGCTGGGCTAGCCTTTCCACTGCGGGCTGGGCCCAAGTGCTTGAGGACTTGGGTGGACTGTTGATCATGAAGTTGGGCTCAACTGGTTTGTCCATATACTCATCTGACCCACTCAGATTTGGACTTTGTCGGATTGGGCCGGCCCAAGGCTTGGACCTGACCCATTTCATATTTAGCCCCTTCATTTGCCCCTTAGCTCGCACTAAGGTTCCCCTTAGGGGGAGCTATTGTTCGGCTTTCCAAGCGTCGCGTCGTTTTGGTTCTCTCCCAGTTCGGCTTTGGTGGCGGTTCAATCCTGGCACACAATTCCTGCATGCGTCCTTTCATGTAACACGTGGCAACGTGTGATAGGTGTACAGAGATAATGCGTCGACTCCATACTGAAGGTCGTGATTTGTGTACCTACACGCCAACTGGTGTAATAAATGCTCAGGCTATCAATTCAAATCCCTTGATTTACTTTTCTCATTCCTCTAGTGAGTTCCAAAGAGAGAGAAAGAGCTTCTTCCCATTCCTCTGGACCGATCTCGTTGGTGCTCCGTTTGGGCTTCTTCGCCGCTGATCCTGCTTCGCTACTACTGTTTTGATCTCTGTAAGTCGTCTCGTGACTCTTCTTCTCTTTTCCTTTTCTATTTTAATCATCTTGTTTGGTCCACTTGCTATCCGTGTCCCATACTCTGTTATCTGAATCCTACTTCTGTCTCATTAGGTTGGTCGAATGGGGAAGTTCCGTTCCTTGGTTGATACTCCGAAGGCCATGGCTATGTTTCGTCTGGATTACAATATTCCCCATGATGTTACCCTTTCACTGGCGAAAGTAGACGCCAAACGTATGCGTATGAGGAACACCGTTGCCTTTCCCATCGCGGCAATAGTCGAGGGAGGGGTTCGGTTTCCTCTTGACCCGTTAGTGCGCCGTTTTCTGCATCAAGTCCAGTTAACCCCAATGCAAGTATCTGTGAACCTTTTCCGTGTTGTTTGCGGCGTATCTGCCCTCAATAGACGACTAGGCCTGAACCTTGACATATGGGATATCTTAGGATGCTACACCCTTTCCCATAACAAAGACCATAGTACATATTACCTACGTGTTCGCTCGACTGATTATCACTTAGTTACTGGACTACCTAATTCGGATAAACACAATGACGATTTCCTACAAGTTGGTGGAAATTGGGAGTTTCCCGCCAGAACCGAGTTTCAGTCTGAACGGATGCCACAGAAAGACGGCTACCCAGGTCCGGGCCTCTCCTTCTAATGCCTTTGGTGTTTCTTACTCTATTTTGAATATTACTCTGATGGGTTGCTTTCTTTTTGCAGAGTCTTCCCATTTCCAACGAAGGCCGAACCGAGAGAATATTGAAGCCATCAAAGCTGCCTTGAGGTATAAAAAGAGATCTGCACCTGAGTTATTGGACTACCAGTCAACTTACCGTTCCGTTATTCCAAAGAAGGCAAGGCTCGCAACTGCCCTTCTGGACTCTGATACCGAGACTGACATATCTCTCACCCCTCTGGTCTCGAGCCGTCGCAGGAGTCAAGATGCATTTTCTGAGAGAGCGCCCTCCTCTGTCCCCAGTCCGTATGTCTTTGGTTTGGGATACATTCCCACCAAAGAGGATTGGATTAGAAAAGGAAAAGAGATGACAGGTAAAGCCAGAGCTAAGCAGGCCGGAAAACACTGTGAGCTGAATCACAGGCCAATTCAGGGAACACTGAACGGCCGCTTTGTTCGGGAGGGAAAACATTTCCTATTTTGCAGTTTTCCTGTGCCCTTGGTGAATTCTGCGAAGCAGCGGGTTCTTGGATTCAAAATTTTCTTTGACTTGCAACTGCAAGACAATGATATAGAGGAAAGGGATGAGCCAACTACTGAAGCTGAGAAGAGCATGGAAAATGACTCGGACAATAGCGAGCTTAGAATAGGAGCAACACTGGCATGTCTCCTTATAGATCTTTCGGCTGACTCAGAGAGCTTAGGGGATAACCTGACTATCTCCATGATCGGGGACCAACTGGGTGTGAACCCATATAACAATATTTTGGATGCATCTGAAGCACCATCTCTCGTTTGGCAGCTGGAGGAAGGCTACCTGTCTAGTAGTTCTGGGTCGGGTAATAAGTCGGAGTCTGATTCCATTGAGTCTGTGGAGTCGGAATCAGATTCCAGTTCTTTTGAGTTGGAGTCTGGTATTCCTGGGGGTGAAAACTCGGATGCCCAAGTCTTGTCC